GTCGTGCTATCTGCCCCGCTTGCTTTTCCATGTTCGACGTATTCTCAATTCCTGGGCGGCCAAAGATGTGCAAACCATGCCTGCACTCCGGGAGCAAAAGCACGCACTGAGCTGAATGGTTGCCGGCAGTGCCCATCGACGCCTCTGGGTAAATGTGTTTCAATTCGTGCGCTTTGAAACCTGTGCAACTGTTCCTGGAGCACCGACAAGGTCTCAGGATGTGAGGGCCTGCACCGAAAAGCAAGACGCCATGCTTTGCTTTACTGGGTAAAGTGTTTCAAAGCTTGCGCTTTGAAACCTGTGGAATGGTTCTTGGAGCACCGCTGAGGTCTCAGGATGTGAGGGCCTGGGTCCACGCAAACACTGGGTCCACACAAACGCTTGTCAAACACTTCTGAGCATCCCTAGCCAGGGTCACAACGGTCCATGTCAACCTCGGGCTCCAACGGTTGAATAGGAATGAGACTTGGTGGCACATCCTCAGCCTCATCTTGTCGATAAAAGTGAAATCCTGGACAAGCCCCGCAAGCAGGGAGCAACCTTGAGGGAATAGAGCTGCCCGCGTAAAATATACTGAAGCAATCCGAGACCACCAGTCACAAAGCCCTTCGGCGTCCTTGGACTCCCTGCATCTCACACAGCCTGGGCAAGCAGAGCGATCAACAGCTGAATGGTTGCCGGCAGTGCCCATTGACAGTCTGGTCTTGCAAACTAACAAAAAACAAAAACCTTAATGGCCCGTGCTTTGGAGATTGAAAGTGAAAAGCCTTGGCCCCACAAGTGGTCAAAGCCAGCGGTCGTAGAGCTAGCGCCGAAAACAAAACCGCCACGCTTTGGTTTACTAGGTAGAATGTTTCAACACGTGCGCTTGGAAACCTGTGCAACGGCTCTTGGAGCACACCAGAGGTCTCAGGATGTGAGGGCCTGGGTCCACGCAAACACTGGGTCCACCCAAACACTTGTCAAACTCTTCTGAGCACCCAGGCAGGGTCACAACGATTCATGTCAACCTCGGACCGTTGAATAGACATGAGACTTGGTGGTACATCCTTAGCCTCATCTTGCCGACATGGGTGAAATCCTAGACAAGCCCCGCTAGCAGGGAGCAAACTTGAAGGAATAGAGCTGCCAACGTTTTCATGAAGTTGGCAAATAACCCACAACCTGGATGCAGTTGGCAAATAACCCACACCCTTGTAGCGGCTCTGGAACGACAACTGCCCTGCTACTAGGCCAACAAACTCCCACCTCGACTAAAGCATATCGAAATCTCCCGCAAGAAATCGACAGCTTTACCACGCCCACTCCTGGATGGAAGAGTTTGGATTGAGTTGAGACTCTTCCCATTTCGTGGGAAAAACAAAACCATGCAATAGGAAGCAAGCGATCGAGCGGCAGCTCTTTCACGGCCACCTTGCGGCCAGTCCGGCTGTCCACTGCCCTGACCACTGTGCCAAACCTGCAATGCAGAGTGATTGGTGGGGGAATAGTTTTATCAAACGCCGGTCTAAGAAAGAGTCACCATCCACATCAAACATTCACCAATGCCCAACCAAGACACGTTCCGGCACCCAACTGCCGATCTGCCCAAATCTCGTATGGTTCCAAAGCCCTCGAAGGCTGCAAGTCTCCGTGCAAAAGAGCAAAGCCCTTCTGAAGCAAAGAAGCTGCCTCTCTCCGCTCAGGCGGCGGCAGGGGTGGCTTCTCAGGAGCAACCAAACTCCAACTAACCCCCCTCGCGCTCAGAGCAGCCTTTGTCTAGTTCTGCGCCGTCGGAAAAAAGTCACAGTGCTTCTCCACGTCAGAAGAACAGACGTCTGCTCGAGACCAGCTCAAAAGCGCTCGGCCTTTAGAAGCTGCAGCTTGAAGCGCATTCAGGCCAGCTTGCATGTCCTCATTGTTCTTGAACAGGATGCGCCAATCTTTCGCTGTGCGGCTACGCAGTGGAAGCGCCATTGAAAGGAAGCGTCAAAAGCATTGGTTGGGGCTGTATTCGTAAGTAAATTAGGGCGTCCCCTATCGTTTTTCAGATTTTGACACTTTGGGGTGGGTATCGGTTTTGGGGTATCGTTTTTAGGGCGTCCCCTATCGTTTTTGGGATGGGACTATAAAGCCCAATACCGATGAAACGTTCTATATAAAATGCCTTTACAATAGTTTTGACTACAACTCATAAAATGTCGAAGTTAGTGGTTTATCCGTCCCCTTCTCTCTCTGTCTCCATATGTGTCTCTTTTTTTTGCGTTATCATTTTGAGCCGCCAACTGTTGCGTGATATAGAAGGAAGACGCAGGCTCGAAGACACGACTCAGGGCCTGCACTGTGTGAGACAAAGTCAGACAAAGTCATGACGACAATTCGCAGAAAAACAAGATGCTATTCACAGCTTACAGATACAACTCTAGAAAGACCACCTAACGCGTGGAAACTTCGGCCGGCTCATCACACCAAGGCCCCTGCAAAAAAACAACGCATCAAAAAACAACGCATGTGAGATTGAGCACGGGCTTGTGGGAAAACAGCGGCAGGCTTGTGGGAAGCCAACCCAGACTTGCATGGGGATGGTCGGATACTCAAATGTATTCCCTGGATCACCAAAAATGATTGTTCAATTTTGCGCAGATAAGTCTCCAAAGTACCTTAGAAAATGGGTACTTGTACTCATTTTCCTGACAAAACGGGTATCGTACCTATTTTTTATGGGGTCATGTCCCATTTTCTAAGGTACTGGGTCAGTCGGGTCCATACTTGGATCCCTAGGGTGGGACCAAGTCCAGATGCGTGCGGAAGTTGGGGCGAACTCTGCGGGGTGAGTGGACGACGGAGAGAGAGAGAGGTTTGGTCGGATCGGACGGACTGACTTCGGTCGTACCGAAAAAGGCAGGTCGGACCCGAACAGGCTACCACACACGGGGAAAACGTACTCCGAGGTACGAACAAAAAAAACGGGCCGAGTCCAGGTCAACGGGTCGGAGCAATTCCCAGCCATCCATGTATGGAACATATGCCTGGGGCCTATATATCGGCCCAAGCCACCCCATGACGCTCCGTTCACAGCTCTTGGTCCCTCAAAACCCTAGGGAACTGAACGGAGGGTCCAGGGTCGCGTTTGGGTTCCACACTCCAAACCTCAACACAATCCCGGCCTAGGGCTCTAAGGATCCAACCGTCTTAGCACTAAGACATGAGACGGTGCCAGGAATGGTTTGGAGGGTCCAGTCGTACCGAACCTGAGAAGCTGCAAAACGAAAGCCAGCGCTTCCCTTTCTCGACAACTGCGCGTCGAAGCAAGCAAATGAGCTCGCGCAGCTGCTTGCGGCCGCGTGTCCAATCTGCTTCATGTCTTGTTCTGCCCACACAGAGGTAACCATGTCAAAACAAAAACCTGCGCTTCCTGGCAATTGAGGGGTTCGGTGTCATTTTGCCCGGATTTTTCCTCTGCACAGGGGGGGGGTTTGGATGGAATCCGATGTTTTAGGCCGTAGCCAAATCTATCCACATTGACATCATTTGGTGTCTACCAGGACCTTCAAAGTGACCGTCCGAGATCCCAGAATGAGGTCACTTAGTCACTTAGTCCCCGAATGAGGTCACTTGGAGACTCCAAAGAGGTCATTCTGAAGGTCCTGGTGTTTCATTCCACTTCCAGTAAGACTAAGATCCTTTGTTTCTGGTGGCTATGCGCAAGCGACTCATGCTCTTCAAGGAGTGCTGTAAGTGAAGTATCGGAGTGCTCTTCTGAAGCTAGCCTGGGTCCGTATAAATACTATGTTGCTATACCTCTTACACACCTACACAAGTTCAAAGCACGAATGAGACTTCAAAGCTGTGGATTGCTGTGCGTGTGTAGAGGCTATCGAGCGGTTGACGGAAAGGGAACTTGAAGTACTATACCTGGTAGCTGCACTATAGCTACCCTGGGTCTCTATACCTAGCAAGGTGCCAACTACACCTTTATTTTCAAGATGGCCTAAACAGAGTGTTTTAGGGCAGCAAACCGTGGTCTCAGGCCACCTTGAATTTAG